TTTGGTGGCCTTAGGTCATCGCATAGGTTGGATGTGGATTTTAGTCACTCTCACATCCTGCTGGTCCCTATTTCTGACGATGATATAATCTAGTTGTTGCCAGTGTTTTGAACGGGGGTGCATCCAGGCGCATAGTCAGGCTGAATGTGGTTTTTGTTATTAGAATGCAGTGTTCAGTACAGGTCTTAGTCTGAAGTAGCAGTAGGCCATTGCTCTTGCACATTCCAACACCATTCTTCTTAATCACTTCCCCCCGCCCCCAAGGAGGTGTAGTTACCGCCAACACGTGCATTGAAATCTCCAATATTGATGAGTTTGTCAGCAGTCGGTGTGGAGGATATGATGGTGTTCAGGGCCTCATAACACTTACCTTTGGTCTCTTCTGTGTTTGTCATGGTGGGTGCATAGGCACTGACTTAAGTAACAGTATTCTTTCCATGACAGAGGGGCTTTTTCAACGTCATGAGACGGCCATTGACTTTTTGGAGAGGTGCGAAGATAGCTCACAAGAAATGTTTTGATAGCAGGGCCAACAACAGCTTCTCTCCTTGCGTCAGGGTCGCGTCCGCTCCAGAAGAAAGAATAGCCAGCAAGCCTTTCTGTGAGTTCACCTTTGCCAGAGAGTCTGGTTTCACTGAGGGCGGCGATGTCTATGTTGTATCTGGCAAGCTCATGGGCAGTGAGCGCCCTGCGGTCGTTGAGGCCTGTTTGTATTGTCCCTGTTCCATGTGGCAATTGTAAGTGAAATAGATTTTAATTTTTATTTTAGACCGCAAAGATTGCAAGTGAAAAAGTACACCCGTCTTAAAAAATAAGTTTTAATATATATAAGAATGAGCTAGCTTCACATAACACCAAAGGGGAGAACTTTTTAAGTACGTTCGGATACCTAAAAACAATCATAGTTATTTTGTTCTTTTTTTTTATGGAAATCGAATAAATTTAAGTGTGCAAAAAAATATTTTAAATCTGATTTTATTTTAGTAAAAATTTAAATATTATTATAATAAATTACAAATAAATTTAATTATCAACTAAGAAACTATTTTAAGCATTTTATATGTGTTTGAAAGTTATGAAAAAATAAAAAAATAAAAAAAATCATACACCGTAATCACATGTATCGGGAAACCCTAGACATCAGTAGTTTTAGTGCGTCTTTGAGTGCATTGTTAATATTGCGAAATAAAATTCAAATTAATTTGTTCTCAATAATCACACCAATGACGTTAGAGTTAGAGCGTGAATAGCCTATTTCGCCAAAACTCTTTGGTTTCTTTAAATTTAATAACCGTGCTTGACAAAACTGATCATGTATTTTCCCTTTTAAAATTAAACTTAATAAATACGATTGATTGCTTTTTGAATTGTTATTAAAACACACACTCACACACATTTTAGCTTTGAATATTTTTAACATTTAACAAGTTTTGCCTTTTTTTATTCCAAAAAATATACTTTTATAAAAATTATAACGTAATAAATTCTAACCTTTAAATACATTCTAATAAGAAAATGCGGTTTAAGCCAAACAGTGCAGCGCACTTCCACCGCCAAATAGCATTGACTAATCCACTTATAACTCATACAAATAAGAACGAACCATATGAAGTGCAAAATATGTTAGTTTGGGTATGGAAAGGACTACAATCCGGTGAAAGATTTTCTAAATTTATTTAAACCTAAGTTGTTGAGGTGTTGTTCACTTTGTCCCAGGCAGCACAAGATACGTGTCAAAATAAAGGCATTTATTTGATAAATAATTAACCTTCTTTGGTATATACATGTCGGAGGTAGGATATAGGATGTGTACATTTTTACGAGGATGACAACATATTTTAATCCTATGGTATTACATTTGGGGAAAAAGTTACGCCACTTTCTCTTTTTAAAAATATGTATATGTTCATTTTGCTCAAGGCTGCACAAGATGCGTCTCAAAATAAAGGAATGAATTTGATAAATAATTAAACTTCTTCGGTAAATACATGTCGGAGGTAGGATATAAGATGTCTACATGTTTACGTGGATGACAATATAGTTAGCTCCAATGTGATTTTATTTATGAAAAAAAGATATTACATTCTCTTTTTACAAAATGGGTAAGTTCATTTTGCCCAAGGCAATACTAGAATAAATATCCCGATGTTATCGGTATAATAATAGTAGGTCTTTGCGATAATTTGTAACTGCTATTGTAAAAAATCATCACAATCCATAACTTTAAAAAATATAAAGATTGTTTTCGTTTCTATCATTATTAAATGTTGAGAGGTGTTTATCTGCTATATAATATACGTCTACGTTACTCCCTTTCATGCTCCTAAACTACTATTTTCCCTTCTAATCGTCACCTTATTTTACCCAGTCTAAATAATCACTAATTATATAACATGTGTCACTAAAGAAGTACATTGATGGACAATTACTATGCTAGAGAAATACTTTAGATTTACCCCTTTTCGTGCCCTTGAAATAAAACTTTTTTTCCTCTAAAACAAAATACGTCTTAAAACAAAAAAATGAGATTGATAAATAATTAATTTTCCTTGGTAAATACATGTCGGAGGTAGGAGATGAGATGTGTATAGTTTAAGGTGGATGACAACATCGTTAACTCCTATGGTATTCCCTTTTTTTTTAAAAAAAGAGATGTTACACTCTCTGTTTACAAATATGGGTAATTTCATTTTGCCTATGGCCTCAAATTAAGGGAATGAATTTGATCAATAATTAATCTCCTTGGGTACATTCATATCGGTGGTAGGAAAAAGGATGTGTACATTTTACGTGGATGACACTATATTTAAGTCCTATGGTATTACATTTTTGAAAAAAAGAGATTTTTATTTCTCTTTTTACAAATAAACATATGTTTACCAATTAAGAAAATCAATGGCATTACATTTATATAAGCATACCCTTAAATATCAAAACCCAATCATTTTACACAATTGAAAAAGTAATTTTGAAAAATTGAGATTGGTTAATATTTACTTTCAAAAAATGAACATATAATTTTGTTTTTACTTTGCAAAAAGTAAAGAGGTGTGTATTTGATGTATATGTGTATGAGATGAACAATTTTTTTTTAAAGATACACAATATACAAGATGTTTTGGCGTGAAAAATGGTTGCGAGATTCTTCTTTAGATAAAATAATTCTTTGTTTTACGAGTCTCTGATATATATAATTTTAGGAATAAATATGTTTAAATTTTTGCTGAAGATATCAATATATATCGAATTCGTGTCATATAAAATATACTTATATCATATATATAGTTTTTGATGTAAATATAAGATTAGTTTTTTAAACAATTTTTAGAGGGAAAAAAAAGTTGTAATCCAAGCTCACGAAAAGCGGTAAATCTAAAATATTTCTCTAAGGTAGTAATTGTCCATCAATTAACTTCTTTAGTGACAAAAGTGATATATGTAGTGAAAAGTTAGACTCGGTATTTTAAGGTCATGTTTAGAGGGGAAAAGTAGTTTAGGAGCGTTAAAGGGTGTAAGGTAGGCTTATATTATATAGCAGATAAATACTTCTCAAAACTTAATGATGTTGAAATGTAAATAGCATTATATGTTTAAAGTTTGGAATTGTGATAATTTTTTGCAAGAGCCCTTACAAATTTACGCAAAGGACCTATCATTATCATCCCGATAATATCGGATCATTTATTCTAGTTTAAAATACAAATATAAAGAAATCAGTCTTGCAAGGATATTACGTCACGTACCAGAAATATGGCCAAAAGAATCTCCATAATCTTGCAAAGCTGCCAAAACATATATAGGAATTAATGTATAACCCTCTGGTAAAGACTTCTAGCAGTGGCGTCACCTGATTTCATATTGTAGAACAAATACAGAGCATTCTAAACTCAACAACCTTTTCCCTATAATGGGAGAGGAAGGTAACATTTATATAAATGTGTTTCAAAATAAGATTACTAGCACTAGCGTGAGATAATTATGCCTGAAATAATATACATAACACGAGTAGTTAGATGACTAGCCTTGAAATAAGAAGATTAGCAGTAGCAGTGAGATTTTTGTGTCTAAAAATAAGCACTAAAAGTGAGATCATTTTAAACAAGATTACCAGCATTGCTAGTTTACCTGTTATAGTTTTTATCAGTAGAAACATCGTTTAGCTAATGTGTATTTACTAGATAATGATTCAGTAGTGTTGTGCCTTGACACACCAGGACAGCGTCTCAGTACTTTTTAGGTGATTAACTACTATGAACCATAATGTAAAGCTTTGCCTAGGTGGCTATGAGGTTAACTCTATGAACCATAATGTAAACCTGTGCCTAGGTCGCTATGAGGTTAACTCTATGAACCATAATGTAAACCTGTGCCTAGGTGGCTATGAGGTTAACTACTATGAACCATAATGTAAACCTGTGCCTAGGTGGTTATGAAGTTAACTACAGTAAACCATAATGTAAAGCTGAAGGTATCAGCGACTTGTTTTCTTTTCATTGACTTTGTAAAGTGCTGTGAGGCACCCCAGTACGCTTTATTTGACGAGCGCGCCACTGGATAAGTTGAACTCATTCAATTGTTTCATAACGTTCTGAATGAATACTGCTTGTTTTCCTTTTAACGTTACATTTTAATTTCGTCGGGTGTGTAGACGAAATGTGCACGCCCCGAATTTTGGTGGATGGGGCAACTGCCCATTGTCACGAAATTGCGTTGCTGTTTACTAAGAAATCAAAGTGCACTAGACTTTTATTTTATTTTGACTGTTTATTTCGAAAACAAAAAATACGTATTTTTAGATATGTAAACTATATCTCCCACTCCCTTTCTCTCTCTCTCTCTCTCTCTCTCTCTTTCTCTCTCTCTCTCTCTCTCTCTCTCTCTCTCTCTCTCTCTCTCTCTCTCTCTCTCTCTCTCTCTCTCTCTCTCTCTCTCTCTCTCTCTCTCTCTCTCTCTCTCTCTCTCTCTCTCTCTCTCTCTCTCTCTCTTTCTCTCTCTCTCTCACGCACAAACTTAGCATTTTACACACACAAATTTTGATGTTTTTCTTTTCTTTAAATACAACTCAATAATTTACTCTTTCTACATAAACATTCTCTTTCATTTTTATCTTCATATGCAATTCTCTTTATGTGCATCTATGATAGCTTCTCTCTGCATTCATGCAAATATACTGATAATATGATTATACTTGATTTTTTCACTATTTCTATTATTTAAAAAATCTTTAACTAAAATGAATATTATTTAGAATTTAATTAATACAATAAGCATTAAAATAATATGTTAAGTGTATAAATAGCATACACGTTATGCCATAAAGTTAGTCACTCTTTTCCTAGCCTTCAGTACACCTGGGTGACATTGTATGGGGTATCTGTTGGAGTAACATAATCATCCGTCTTAGGTCCTGGATAATAAGATAGACTATACAGGGATTCACGCAATGGAGGTAGAGGGGGTCGCTGGAGTTGAGATGTTACCCCCTTTGGCTGATGTTCTAGAGTCTGGCCGGACCTCTCAGGTGGGTAAGAAATACTGCTGTAGTCGACTAAAGATGAATAGAACAAGAAAAAGAAAATACGGATGCCAGCATAACTTATTGGTAATATGTTTAGTTTAAGTGTAGCCTTGTTTCAAAGCTAGGTCATTTAAAAAAACAACTTTACAGTATTAGAATTACAACTGACCTTGATGTTATTTATTCTAATTTCATTTAATAGTATTGTTTTAAAATTGATAAAAACTGTTGCTATTTTGAAAAAAAGATCCCACAATTTGGTCTAGAAAGTATTATTCAACAATGACACACAACACAATGGTCAGACGTCAAGTAAATGAACACACAACACAATGGTCAGACGTCAAGTAAATGAACACACAACACAATGGTCAGACGTCAAGTAAATGAACACACAACACAATGGTCAGACGTCAAGTAAATGAACACACAACACAATGGTCAGACGTCAAGTAAATGAACACACAACACAATGTTCAGACGCCACGTAAATGAACACACAACACAATGTTCAGACGTCAAATAAATGAACACACAACACAACGTTCAGACGTCAAGTAAATGAACACACAACGTTCACACAAGTAAATGAACACACAACACAACGTTCAGACGTCAAGTAAATGAACACACAACACACCGTTCACACAAGTAAATGAACACACAACACAACGTTCACACAAGTAAATGAACACACAACACAATGCCCTAATGTAATCACCAAAGCTCTTACGCACCGCACACAGGAAAGATGTTCATTTTTTTGGGCACCTATAAAAACGTACATCAAATGTTCATGAAAAAGTTAGCCGCAGTGGAAAATCAAGATTTTTTAAATCTGTATAGCTCATATAAGGAAATTGTAATAAATGGCATGAAAAGCGTTTCTTCCATCCTACGCAATCTCAGGAACACAGCTTTTAGAGAGAAAAATGTCTCACAGTTCCTTCATAAGTACCGACATGTCACTATTTATGTGACACCAGATCCATGACTACAATAAGGATAAAACCCTAATCCGTCAGGTGTAAACCTGCTCTAACTGTCAACGAATTACTCTGTTTAAGATAACGTGTGTGGTTACGTCACATTGTGCCTAAGTTGAAAAAAATATTTCATCACATTTTAGTGGAACTTTAAAGGAAAAAAAATCAAAATCTACAAATGCCGCCACAATTAATCCCGTCCTGCTATTATTATCCTGTTGATTGAATTAATCTGTAGAATCGATGTGTAGTTTAAACCTTTTTAAAAGATTATTTGCTGTTAGCGTGCAAATTCAATATCTTAAGAAAAGTTGAGCACTTGATATGCTGAATTTTTTTTAAGGTATACTAAGATTTAAAGGGAGATAAATGAAAACGATCAAAGACTAGCAGACTTCTGCGCGGCAAATGAGCTCGTTATTTGGGAGTAAGGTATTCCAGCATAAAAATATCCACAAGATAACTGGGTTGTCCCATGATAACCGAACAGAAAACGACATTGATCAAATATGCATCAGTAAAAACACATACGTTCTCTACAAGATTTACGATTTAAAAGAGAAGATGTTATGGCATCTGATCACCATATTAATGAAAAAAGTTACCCACCTTAAATGTATTAACAAGTATTTGATAAGTGAAGATCAAAACTAATTCAGTCAATATTTGAGGTTTTCTACTTAATATACAAGTAATTGATCTCCCCATCTTGAAGAGTCCATGTATTACATACAACCCTTTTCATTACAAAACCTGTTCTACCAACCTGTGCCATCCTTACCCGACCCCGAAGCAGCGACATAGCTTCGTTGATACGAAGAGCTGCTACCAATGCTGTCATACTCCGAGTGTTTCTTTTCACGGGCCTTCTGTCTCACCAGCAGGCAGCATGAGATGATGGTGGAGATAAGTAAGAGGCCGAGAGCTCCACCCAACACACCCATTATTATGATGGATCGGTCACTGTCCTCATTTTTGGTCACACCTGAATTAAGAAACATAGACGTTGGTCAAATCTATCGTGTCTTTATGTCTTCACTCTTCTGTCATTCCAATGAAAGAGCAGCGTTCCTTAAGTCAGACAATATACAGAGAAAAGGAGAAACCACAATAGTATACCCCGAACAGTATTGTTTTAATTTAAGGGTTGTGTGTGTCATGAATGGAATGTGGGTTGATTCAATATAGACTTTACGATCGATGTAAGCAATTATTCATTTATTGTTAAAGACCATATTCCTCACAGAATAACACATCTACTCATCCCGCCATACACAGCAATAAACTGATCATATTTAAATCGAAATTAACTTCTTCAAGAGAAAAATAAAGAATGCTTTGTTGTAAAATTGTGCTGGTTGCTGTAAATTTTATTCACGAATGTGGGCGACGGAGTGGAAATCAAGGATTGCCACCAAAAGGGTGAAAATACGGGGGGGGGGTATCTGGGAAGCCATTTCGACACATAACTGTATGTAGTTTTGATTCTAGACGTACTTAGAAAAAAAAAAGAGCGAAAATAATCCTAAACTAAATGAAGAAATACGTTCATTTTTTAAACATCAGGCGTGCCACAAAATTTAACATTGTAGGCCGCATGCAGCCCATGGGCCGCACTTTGCCCAACCCCTGAAGTAAATAGTTCCATGTGTTAAAAGAAATGTTAAATAAAAATTGTATCTGGCGTTATGGTAATTCGACCAGACTTTGTGTATTAAGGAATCTCTCACGACCTAAAACAAACTTTAGGTCCTGATTCCTGGACATATCGGCTCAAACTAATTTATCCCGTGACCTTTCTTATCTGGCTGCTAGGTTTCCACAGTCAAACTCAGCATAGAACCTTTCCTTACCTGGCTGCTAGATTTCATCAAACTCAACATAGGACCTTTCCTTACCTGGCTGCTGGATTTCCTCAGTCAAACTCAATACATGACATACTTACATGGCTCCTGGGTTTCCTCTGTCAAACTCATCACATAACCTTTCCTTACCTGGCTGCTGGATTTCCTCAGTCAAACTCAATACATGACATTCTTACCTGGCTCCTGGGTTTCCTCAGTCAAACTCATCACATGACCTTTCCTTACCTGGCTCTTGGGTTTCCTCAGTCAAACTCATCACGTGATCTTTCCTTACCTTGCTCCTGGGTTTCCCTAGTCAAACTCATCACATGACCTTTCCTTACCTGACTCCTGGGTTTCCCCAGTCAAACTCATCATATGACCTTTCCTTTCCTGACTCCTGGGTTTCCTCAGTCAAACTCATCACATGACCTTTCCTTAACTGGCTCCTGGGTTTCCCCAGTCAAACTCATCACATGATCTTTCCTTACCTTGCTCCTGGGTTTCTCAGTAAAATTCATCACATGACCTTTCCTTACCTGACTCCTGGGTTCCCTCAATAAAACTCATCACATGACCTTTCCTTACTGTTGTGAGCGAGAGTTGTTGAGAGTATCGGGTAAGGGGAGTCGTGAATCGTGGGAGTGTTTTGTGAGTTGTTGGTCGAGTGGTCAGAGCGTGAAAGTTAGTCCGTGATGTGGAACGGTTGCGTAGGCTGAGTTGTTGTGTGGTTATATAAAAGGGATGTGTGTTGCCTAGAGGTTAGTGAGAGAGAGAGTCAGTCAGAGTCAGTCAGAGCCAGTGAGAGTCGGAGTCAGTTAGTCGTCAGCGTTAGCAGTAGTGATAGGAGAGAGTGGTAGTTGGACTGATGAATGTTTCACGCTCTATATATATTGTCATTAAATAGCAGTATCCTGATTTATGAAGTATCGAATAAATATTATATATATTGTTACAATGGACCTTTTGCGTTTTATGTCATACACCCTAGACAACGGAGAGAGAGCCGTAACATTTCAAGTATGAAAAGATTGTAACATTTGGAGATAGTTGAAGCATAACAAAGTTCGTAACATTTGGGGGCCCGTCTGAAACTGCAACGATCCTGCTGGCTGCCCTACCCTGCTGTTGCCAACCCTCCTGGTTGCCATATCCTGTGTTGCCGTATCCTGTGTGATTGCCGTATCCTATGTGGTTGCCGTATCCTGTGGTGTTGCCGTATACTGTGGTGTTGCCGTATCCTGTGGCTACCGTATCCAGTTTGGTTGCCTTTGTGTTGTCAGATCAAGTGTTTTGCCGTATCCTGTGTGGTTGCCTGGTTGCCGTACCCCGTTTTGCTGACCCTGCTGGCTACCATACCCTGTTGGTCGCCTTACCCTATTTTTGCCTGTTTGCCGTACCCGGTTTTGCTGACCCTGCTGGCTACCATACCCTGTTGGTCGCCTTACCCTGCTGTTGCCAACCCTGCTGGTTGCCGTACCCTGTGTTGCCGTATCCTGTGTGGCCGTATCCTGTGTGGTTGCCGTATCCTGTGTGGTTGCCGTATCCTGCGTGGTTGCCGTATCCTGTGGTTGCCCTATCCTGCGGTTGCCCTATCCTGTGGTTGCCCTATCCTGGTGCTGCCGTATCCAGTGTGGTTGCCTTATCCTGCTGGCTACCATACCCTGTTGGTCGCCTTACCCTGCTTGTTGCCGACACTGCTGTAACACTGTGACACTGATGCTGTACCCGTGTGAATGTACCCTACTGCGGTTGTACGCCTACGCAAGTCAGCTACATTTGGGACCCAAGATCAAGGACAAGACCGGGTGATTAGTTTAATTTAGATTTGTTGTTGCATAGGGTTGATGTATTTTTTTTTTTTTTGGTACTGCTATAGGGTACTTTAGTGATTATTTGACATGTTTTGATTTTGTTACTGCTATAGGGTACTTTAGTGATTATCTGACATGTTTTGATTTTGTTACTGCTATAGGGTACTTTAGTGATTATCTGACATGTTTTGATTTTGTTACTGCTATAGGATACTTTAGTGATTATCTGACATGTTTTGATTTTGTTACTGCTATAGGGTACTTTAGTGATCATCTGACATGGATTTAGATGAGCTAATATTAGAATTTAGGGAGGAGGCGGAGATAATAGGTTATAATGGGGAAGCCATTATTAGGTGGGTAGAGAAAAGGATAAGCGAAGAGAGGGAAGATCGGAAACGTCAGCTAGAGAGGGAAGAACGGGAACGCGTTAGAGCTAAGGAGAGGGAAGAACGGGATAGACAGCGAGCCGAAGAATTGGCACAGCTAGATGAGAAAATAGCACGGGAAAAACGAGAGTGGAAAAGGAACCTAATAAAGAAGCAAGAGGCTGAGTTTGAGGCATGGTGTAGAGAAGAAGAAAGGGCTGGGAGATTTGTGGCTAGGATAGGTAGAAATAACGTTAAGGAAATTGGGAGTCTTTAGTAGAAGGTAAGGACCGTAAAAGTATTTTGTTAGGCAAGGAAAAGGAGATAAAACAGATTAGTACTGACTTAGTTGAAGAGAATAGAATAGACGGGGTAGTTAGTATAAATTGTTTAAATCCGTACGTTAGAGATGACTGGTCAGAAGGGGAAAGAGACGATAGTGATTACATAATAGAAGGGGAAAATAACAGGGATTTTTTTTAGATGGAACTATAAGAACAATAGTTGGGAAAAAATAGATGAGGTCAATAGTAGAGGGGATGAGCTGAGATGGTGCAGAGAGAGCAAGTCGTGGGTAGAACTGGCAGATAATAAAAATAAAACTGAGAAGGGGGACAATAGGAGAAATGATGAATGGGAATTTTTTCAGTTAGGAATAGTTGAAGAGTATTTTGAAGACACAGGGGCAGATAAGAGGAGGATTGTTCCGTTGGATAAATTAGAAACTTGGGAAAATGATAAGGAATGTGTTATTTTGTTAGCAGAGGAAAAAGAGGTCACTGAGAAAATGTCAGATTTTCTGGAGGAGATCAACTATCCCGAGGATATGAGGGCAAGCATGACTGAGTGTAGGGGCGAGGAGTTATTTTTAGTTTCAGTTTCGAGGGAGGAGGTCAGAATGGTTGAAGTAGACGATGTAGAGGTACAAGGGGAAATAGAGTTTTTTGGTGCGGGTGTTCACAGTGATATAACTTCACGTGGTGATTTTGGTATGGATGTTCCACACGTTAGTAATAGTAACTGTCTTGATGGACAAGATGATTTTGATGCAGCTTTTGCCTATACTTATAATGTACAAGAGTCAGTTGATATACAACTGGGAATTTTGAATTTTTTACTGGAAAAAGATGTTGATTTAGTGAAAGAGGCAGTTGTTGGTTGTGTAAGTGACGAAAGTGTATGTTGTAATTTTAAATGTGTCAGTCCTGGACAAGCTACGGTGAGCACGACGTGGAGGTCGTGAACTTGTCAAGGGCAGTCCCGAGAAGGGGACATAAAGTGAACAAAGTCGAAGTCATCGGTAACGACTTCAGTTGGAGCTACGAGGGTCGTAGTCCACGCGCTGGGTTAAGTAGTGTCACTGGTTGCTCGAGGTGTGAGAGCCAGTGTAGTAGCAGGTCTGGTTTAGACTCAGACAGTCTTGTTGTTGACCGTTGTCACTTGGAGTCCGTGGAGGACGTGAGTTTTTGTCCTGATGTGGGACCAGGGGATAGAAATAATGTTTTTTCATAATAAATTATGTCATGTGGGTTTAGGTGGGGGATGTTTTGATTTTGTTTTTGATGTGTTTTATAAAATTGGTGTATTATGTCATGAGAGCCGGAGGCGCTCAAGCTTTGAATGTATTGAAGGTTTTGGTTTTATTTGAGAGGTGTTGCCATGAGTTGGGAGGTGAGGAATGTAAATTTTGTTTCACTGGGTTATGTGAAGATTTGATTTTGACAATATGTATTGAATTTTTGTGTAACTATTTGCCTTGTAAAGTATTATTCAAATTGCTTGTAGAGGCTGACTTGTTAAGCCAGGGGAGAAAAGTAGTGTTTGTAGAAAATGTTGTGAGCTGGGGGAGAAATGTGCACGCTTTTTGGAAAGCGACAGACAAGCGGAATATCCCGCCCTCATTGAGTGTACTAACAGGCGGGACAATTTATGGCTGTCCATAGGATTACAGATGTTGACAATTTTTTTTTTCTCTTTAAAGTCAGTTTTTCCCTCATTTCTGGTCGAAAGTTTCTTTGGTTTGTCATGTTTTAATTTTAGAGAACAGGAAATTAGGGTGATGGTTTATTGTGATGGTGATGTAATCTTACTTTAGGATGTTTTGCCGAGGATGTAGTTAACACTGACTAGGAATGCCATTGTAATGTTGTGAGCGAGAGTTGTTGTGTTTTTTTACTTGATATTGGAATTCTAGCGATAAAAAAACTGTTCATTTTTTGTTATTGCAATGTTGTGATGTCATTTTGGAGTGTGACATCACTACTGTGAGTGATGTCAACGAAAGGGGGGAGGAATGTTGTGAGCGAGAGTTGTTGTGAGTGAGAGTTGTTGTGAGTGTTGGGTAGGGGAAGTCGTAAATCGTGGGAGTGTTTTGTGAGTTGTTGGTCGAGTGGTCAGAGCGTGAAAGTTAGTCCGTGATGTGGAACGGTTGCGTAGGCTGAGTTGTTATGTGGTTGTATAAAAGGGATGTGTGTTGCCTAGAGGTTAGTGAGAGAGAGAGTCAGTCAGAGTTAGTCAGAGCCAGTGAGAGTCGGAGTCAGTTAGACGTCAGCGTTAGCAGTAGTGATAGGAGAGAGTGGTAGTTGGACTGATGAATGTTCTACGCTCTATATATATTGTCATTAAATAGCAGTATCCTGATTTATGAAGTATCGAATAAATATTATATATATTGTTACAATGGACCTTTTGCGTTTTATGTCATACACCCTAGACAACGGAGAGAGAGCCGTAACATTTCAAGTATGAAAAGATTGTAACATTTGGAGATAGTTGAAGCATAACAAAGTTCGTAACACTTACCTGGCTCCTGGGTTCCCTCAGTCAAACTCATCACATGACCTTTCCTTACCTGGCTCCTGGGTTACCTCAAACTCATCACAAGGCCTTTCCTTACCTGGCTCTGGGGTTCCCTCAGTCAAACTCATCACATGACCTTTCCTTGCCTGGCCCCTGGGTTACCTCAAACTCATCACAAGGCCTTTCCTTACCTGGCTCTGGGGTTCCCTCAGTCAAACTCATCACATGACCTTTCCTTACCTGGCTCCTGGGTTACCTCAAACTCATCACAAGGCCTTTCCTTACCTGGCTCTGTGGTTCCCTCAGTCAAACTCATCACATGACCTTTCCTTACCTGGCTCCTGGGTTACCTCAAACTCATCACAAGGCCTTTCCTTACCTGGCTCTGGGGTTCCCTCAGTCAAACTCATCACATGACCTTTCCTTGCCTGGCCCCTGGTTTTCGCTCAGTCAAACTCATCACATGACCTTTCCTTACCTGGCTCCGGGGTTCCCTCAGTCAAACTCATCACATGACCTTTCCTTACCTGGCTCCTGGGTCTCCTCAGCAAAACTCATCACATGACCTTTCATTACCTGGCTCCTGGGTTCCCTCAGTCAAACTCATCTCATGACCTTTCCTTACCTGGCTCCGGGGTTCCCTCAGTCAAACTCATCACATGACCTTTCCTTACCTGGCTCCTGGGTTCCCTCAGTCAAACTAATCACATGACCTTTCCTTACCTGGCTACGGATTTCCCTCAGTCAAACTCATCACATGACCTTTCCTTACCTTGCCCCTGGTTTTCCCTCAGTCAAACTCATCACATGACCTTTCCTTACCTGGCTCCGGGGTTACCGGCGTTTCCACCTTGATGATGTCGTACGTGATGTCAGACTGTCCAACATCGTTATTCATGCTCAGGGTGTACGAGTTGACCCCTTTGGTGTTGGCGTCTTGATGTTTCACCGACACGAGTCCGAAAGGCGGCGTCAGGTGAGTGTAGGTGACGCTATATTTGCTTGGATCCAACAGACCTGTCTCAGTCTTAAGAGTGAAGGTCGGAGGCTCAGGGAAGCCGGCTATTTCGAAAGATAGTGTTGTGTCCTTGTCCAGGGATACTCGAAATGTCTGTTTCTTGTTCAGCAATGCCGGGTCCTTTAGTTTAGGTGGACCTTAGGCAGTATTCATTGAAATTAAACACATTAAAATTATACACATTGAAGTTATACACATTGAAACGATATACACTGAAATTATAAACAATACAAATATAAACATTGAAATTATAAACATTTAAACAATAGAGATACCTTAAAATAGAAGCACCATGACTGGAACCTGACAACAGCAATGTGTTTTGAAAATAAATATTGTGGATCTTATGACAAATTTTTACACATGAAAATTACAATATTGTAATGACTTTGATTAACTTCGTGGCTGTATTGGTATCGATACAAACATAAGGCATAATAAGTGATCGGTTTTGTGTTCCATTTGTGCACAAGTATTTTTATTTAACTCTGCACAAACGATGAACGCTATTTTAAATTTCTTCAAAGACATATTTAATTAACTTCCCTTCTTTATGTAGAGATGCCCTTTGAGACATTGCTGTTATATTATATCAAAATTGTGATAACTCGTCGTAAAATATCTTTATAGGAAATATTTAAAACGGTTAAAAGTGATTTTTAAAAAAATCTGGTGAACAGCAAAAATGTTGTATGTTGTTGTTGTTGCTGTTGTTTTTATGTGGGTGGTGGACCATTTTTGCGACTTCAAAAGGAAGAGTCCTTACCATTCATACATTGACTAGTTATAGCGCGCTAAACATAGGCAGCGGTCCTTCGTGAACTTCTCATATGCTCAAGTTAGTTGACAAAACATGCATTCAAGAAATGCACTTTATAAGAATCGTAATGAGTGCTAAGCCCTCTAGGTACACTTTTGTTCACGCCCCTAAACTATATTAATATTCTAATATACCACCCCTTTTTATACCTCTTTTTGTTTACAATAAATACATCATGTTTGAATTGAAACTATTTCTGTAAAAAAAAAAAAAAAAAAGATAACATTACACTAAGCCCTCTAGGTACACTTTTGTTCACACACCTAAACTATATTAATATTCTAATATACCACCCCTTTTTATACCTCTTTTTGTTTACAATAAATACATCATGTTTGAATTGAAACTATTTCTGTAAAAAAAAAAAAAAAAGATAACATTACGCACCAAAAACATTTGCGATATTTTCAAGAAACTTATTTAGCATAATTATCTGGAATATTATTTTGCGCTCTATTAAATTTAATCCTATACCACTCGTTCTTTCATAACTAGAGAAATACATTGATTTATGATTATTGATTGTGCTTGGTTTGGTACGTTAAACTACCCATTAAAACAACGTTTTCTTATAGATCCTTTATTTGCATCTTTGTTTCCATTTATGTCATTGTACGTGGTTGATCATTTATGTCATTGTACGTGTTTTATCATTTATGTCATTGTACGTGATTTATCATTTATGTCATTGTACGTGTTTTATCATTTACTAGCGAGTACCCGCCATGCGTTGCAATGCCACTCAAGGAAAGAAAGTGTTTGCATGTCATGTTTCTTCAAGAGCTTTTAAATACTCAAAATTTTTCTTGTTTTTCCATCTGGTATATACACGAATAAATCAGAAGATTTTCCGACGCGAGAGCAGGCCACATACATCTGTCCATGGGCGAAGCATGGGTTTTCCAAATTTAGTCCGCAAACTTGTAGCGATTGTCCCTGTGCTTTGTAGATAGTCATTGTAGACGCGTGTCGCATCGGAAACTGTAGGCGTTTGAATTCAAATGGCATATCTGTTGGAATCATTGGGGTGAATGGCAAAAGTACATCACCTAGTTTAAATTTTCAATTTAAAATAGTAACTTCAATGGAACCAATTTCGGAAGATTCATTTGAAAAAATGTACCGTACCTAATGCTTCGATATCAAAGTGCGTTTCTCGTTGCAAATCAAGAGCGAAAAGTTTGTTTGCAGATCGATTCCGAGAGGTCATTCCCAACTCATGAATCATCAATCGATATGAATAGTATTTCATGGCACTGACTTTCTTATTCGATTTTCTCAATTTGATGTCAAAATGATATCCATCTTCTCCTTGCCAAAATAAAATAGGATATTGCAATCAAACGTATGAGCGATGAGTTTCTGAGACTCGCTGAACATCAACACTTCTGCGATGAAGAATTATATCACTTGAGTTAAATTCTTTGCCAACTATAATGATCGCCACTTCATCAATTGTTGGTGCATTGTATTGTCTTTCATGTTGGCCGACAGGTCTGCTCTAACTATGACTTTGTATTCATCAGTCGGCATCTTTTCAAGTGCAACTCTATACATTTGAATTAATTCGTTGTGTTGCAAAAATAACGTTTGCATTGCAGCGACGATTTCTCGTTTAGTGCCCGTATTGATATGACAACGCTGATCGATTTGCTCATCAGTATTCCCCATGAAATCATTTGAAGACATTTGTGATCTGTGTTTGGCATTGGCATCAGAGATCCTACACGATGGTAAATTTGGCCTTGCACTTTACTTTAAATGTTGGCATGTAATTCTCGCGCACGATATTTGTTGCACCGAACGATGTCATTTGGAAACATGAATTGCATTTGCGTATGTTTGCCAAGAAATGTTTCGATTGGCTATTGTCACCTGATACCAACAATGATAATGGTTTTGATGGTGAATGTAATTCTCACACGTTAGGATCTCCCATCTTTTTACATGAAAACCTCGCACAATAGGTACGTTCATTGTTGGCAGGAGATTTCCAGTTGTATAGTTTCTCATTAATTTATAAATCGTAAATTCCAGCGGTAAAAAATGACCATAGTTCAATATCTACGCTGTCAAGTGTGTTATTTAATTACTTGAGAAACCATCGATTGGTGTAAAATGTATTTACATAACACAAAACAACTCCGAAATTATAAGACTCTATTCAAGAAATACTCTTAGTTGAAAAAAAAAAACACGATTTCGATGTCATTTCCGATTCTAAAATGCGTCACAAAATTCAAGCTTATTTATACACATAACAAAAATACTCTCTACACTAAAAATGTAAAAACGTGTTTTCTCTGCTTTACTACAAATGTGTCATTTGTTCAAGGGCGGTAGTGTTGATATCTTCGTTATAAATTATATTGATGAAGCTCATTTAAGAAAATAAATTGAATTTAGGGTCCCCAGCCCTAATTGGAATATTGTACAATGGATGTACTAAATTTGAAAAATTTGCCGGCGGATTCAGCTACTTCCACACATGCAATAGCTCTGTTTGAAATTATAGTTACAAAGCTCTTAGAAGAAAATATGAAATTAGGGTCACTGGCCCAAACGGAATATTGTAAAATGTTTTTTTCTAATTTAGAAACATTTTCGGTAGTGCGCATTTCACTTGACCCAGTTTGATCACAATCGAATGAATGGTATAGAAATGCATACTATAATTATATAGATAATAGAAGTGTGGAAAACGAATTTAGGACCCCCCTCCACAAATGGAATATTGTAGAATTGTTGTATTACTTCAGAAACCTACTTAATATGTCACACACTCAATTTAATATCACTATTTGTATTTGATTAAAAAGCTATCCATTCATGCTTTAGCTCTGTTTGAAATTATAGTTGTATAGCTTAAAATTATAGTTGTATAGCTTATATAGAAAAAACGAACATAGGACCCCTGGCTAAAAACGGAGTATTTTAAAATGGTTGTAATCATTTAAGAAACCTTTGCGGGCGGGCGCGCGCACAACATCTCTCTAAAATTTTATCGCATTGTAATAATGTAGAGGAGCGCATACGGAAATTATTTTTTATAAAGCTCCTAATGTAAGGAAAAAAACACGAATTTGGGGCGATTGCCAAAAAAACGGAATATTTTAGTAGAGTTATAATGGCTTAGAAAAATGCTCTGGCTTATGGACAACTCACCTCAGTTTTATCGCAAGCGCTTGAATGATGTAGGAGCGCATGCGGTTTGAAATTATATTTATATAGCTCATTTTGTAAGAAACAAACATAGGGCCCCTGGCTCAACACTGAATATTTTAAAACGGTTGTAGTAATTTAAGAATTTTTGTGGGCGATAGAACAACATCTCACTAAATTTTTATCGCATTCTGAAAAATGGTATAGGAGCGCATAGAAAATTATTTTTTACAAAGCGCATATAAGAAAAAATAAGAATTTGGGTCAATGAATGGTTATGTTTATAGATAACAAATCGTCAAAGTTTTGTCGCAATCACGTGAATGGTGCAGGAGCGCATACGGTTTGAAATTGTATTTATATAGCTCGTATAAGAAAAAAACGTAAATAAGGCCGCTGGCTAAAATTGGAATATTTTGAAAATTTTATAATAATTTAAAAACCTTTGCGGCCGCGCTTCCAACATCTCACCAAAGTTTTAAGTTTTATTGCAATCAGATAAATGGCGTAGAAGCGCATATGAAAATTATTTTTTACAAAGCTCATATAACAAAAAATACGAATTAAGGGCCAACAGCCGAAAACAGAATGTTTTTAAAAGTGTTTAAATAACACAGTAAAATGCATTTGCGCATCGACAACAACTCACTAAGTTTTGTAGCAATCGCATGATTGGTGTAGGAGCGCATACGGTTTGAAAATATATTTATATAGCTCATATTTGGAAAAACGAATATGAAGCCCCTGGCTCAAAACTGAATAATTTAAAACAATTGTAATATTTTAAAAATGTTTATGAACTAGCTCGCAACATTTTACTAAAGTTTTATAGTAATCGGATAAATGGCGTAGGAGCGCATGTGGAAAATATTTTTACAAAGCTCATATTAGAAAAAAAAACGAATTAAGGGCTAACGGCTAAGAACGGAACACTTGATAAGCT